AGAGATGGGTCTTTGGTCATAATGCCCAGGCAGGTCTCAAACTCTTGGCCTGAAGCATTCGCCAGCCTTGAGTCTGCCGAAGTGCTGGATTACAGGCAAGGCCAGCTGTGCCTGCTGTTATACTATTCTTTATCTTTGTTTCAAAATGTTAGGATAGTTCTACACCTCTGCTTTTTTTTTTTTTTTTTAACCAATGATATATCTTGGAGATAGTTGCAGTTTATTTACCCAGTCCCTCCTGGTAGATATTTTCATTGTTTCCAACCTATTGCTAGGACAGAGAATCGTGCAATATTCTTATACAAGTGTGGCTTTTACCACGTTGCAGGATACCCATCAGACAAATTCCAAGAAGTGGAACTGCAGGGGCAAAGGGAATTTTTATTTGAAATGTTAACACTGCCCAGTGGTTCTCCATGGTGGTTACATCAATTTATCTACCAGCAATATATGAAAGTTCTTGCTTTCCCACATCCTCACCAATATAGAATATTATCATTTAAAACAAATCTCAATCTGAGTCATGAAAGATGGCATGCCAGCATGAGGCTAAGCATCTTACATATTCTAGAGACATCTGTATTCCTTTTTCTGTAGATTACTTGTTCATTTCCTTTGCTCATTTTTCTCCTGGGTTGTTGGTCTTTTTTTTTTTTTTCTTAATATAGATTTATAAGAGTTCTTTAAAAAAAAATAAAGAAATTAGCCCTTGCATGCAATCGATTTTTTTTCCCTGCCTACTGTTTGGATTTATTTATGGTGTTCTGTTCCATGAAGAATATTTTAATTTTTATAGTCACAGTTTAAAAATCTGCTTTCTTCATTCTTGCTCATGATACAAAAAATGGAGGAAGCAAGATTTTACATTGTGTATTTTCTTTTAAGACTTCTGGGTATGATGGAATACTGACATCCTTTCCTGTTTTCTTTGAGGACTTCAATGGTTTCCTTTGGTTTCATCTGTCTTTTATACTACTTAATTTTTTTTTTCCAGAGAGTTGCTCAATTGTCCCTATACCATTTATTGAATAATACATTTTTTTTTTGAGACAGAGTCTCACTATGTTGCCCAGGCTATAGTGTAGTGGCACAGTCACAGCTCACTGAAGCCTCAACCTTCTGGGTTCAAGTAATCCTCCCACTTCAGCCTCCCAAGTAGCTAGGACCACAGGCACACATCACCACACCCACCTAATTTTAAAATGTTTTGTAAAGATGAGGTCTCCCTATGTTGCCCGGGTTAGTCTTGATCTCCTAGGCTCAGACAATCCTCCCACCTTGGCCTCCCAAAGTGCTGGGATTACAGGTGTGAGCCACCACACCCAGATCCATCTTTCCTCCTGCATTCATTTTCTTAATTTTAAAAACTCAAGTTAACATGTCACACATCTATGAATGCACACTGGCGGGTAATTTCCAGTCTTGCCACACTCTATGAAAAGACTCAACAAAATGACTACCAGTTTTATATCTAAAATAATTTAACTTCATTTTAATACAGGACGGAATTACTTGTAAAGGAAAAAAATAATAACAATCACCTCCTTTTCCAAGGCCTGTATGAGCACACCTGCCCACTTGGATCTCTTTTAGTCTCATTCTCTTTTGTACATATCTCATTAGGTCCTTATTTTGAGCTTTTTTATTCATGAATGACCTGCACTGTACAATTGAGGACTTTATTGCAACTGAATGCCGTACAGTATAAGACCATCCTGCTGACGAACCATTTCTTACATGTATATGTAATTCCCCAACTAGCTAATACTTCTTTGTTGTATACTAATGTGGCCTATACTTTTTTCCCCATTTGAGTTCTAAACAGAGTTGGACGCAAAGATGGTGAAGGTTAATACAAATGTACGAACATACTGATCTTCCCATCTCTTTCTTAGTTTCGTGTGTGTGTGTATATGTGTGTTTGTGTATATATGTGTATGTTTGTGTTTATCTGTATGTCTGTGTATGTGTATGTGTTCAAGTGTGTTTGTGTGTGTGCATATGTATTTGTGTGTGTATGTTTGTGTGTATGTGTGTATATGTGTTTGTGTATTTGTGTTTGTATGTGTTTGTGTGTGTTTCTGTTTGTATTTGTGTGTAATTGTGTGTATATGTTTGCATGTGTGTATGTGTGTTTATGTGTGTGTGTGTACATTTGTGTGTTTGTGTGTATGTGTGTATATGAGTGTGTTTGTGTATATGTCTGTGTTTGTGTGTATGTGTGTGTATGAGTGTGTTTGTGTATATGTCTGTGTTTGTGTGCATGTGTGTATATGTGTGTGTGTATGTGTGTGTTTCCCCTTAACTACTTCTAGTTTCAAGTTTCCTAAGGCTGTTCTCAGAAAACACCACATACCCCTTCCTTGCCTTTACCTGTGCACAACGACAGAGGCTCCGGGGGTCCAGGAAAGAAAAGATGTATAAAGATAACACCCTTGGGAGCTTGGTTGTAAAGTCCAGGGCTTCTGCTGGAATTTTCTCTTGAAGCTTTCGACAGCAGAACTTTTGCTGGGACAGCGAGCAGCGCTCCAACAGGCCTGTGAGGATTCTTCTTCTCTGAGAGTCTGTCCATTTGTCAAACTGGAAAAACAAAAGAAAGCAAAATGTAAAAAGCTCCAGGTTTAGTCTGATAGCAGATTCATTACAAGTAAGAGATGACAATGGCACAGAAAGGGAGTTTAGTAACTTATTTCTAGTGCAAATCAAGTATTTATTTCCCTAATCAGCAAATTCCATGCTTTGCCACCTGTCTTCTCTCACATTTATATGGGAGCATGTGCATGACCTAAGTGTGTACACAGAAGTGCATGTGACCTCAAAACTTGCAGTCACATATGAACAATAAATTGGGAGCTGCCCATATTCATAAACTGAGAATATATCTGCTTATAAAAGACAATTTTAAGGGAAAATAACTGCGCAGCTCCTCCCCGCAAATAGTTTCTGCATTATCCCATCAGTGCTTAAAACGGCAGGACCAGAAACAAACCCTTGTATTCACAATTGGAGATAAAGTATTACAAGCAAATATCCCTGAGAAGGAAAGTATATTGGAGTCAATTCTCACTAGTATGTAAATGACTGATATGATCGGACAGGATGTGTTGATAAAGGAGGACTTGAAGAGAGGAAGTGAATGCCAAAGGAAGCCAGGGTACGTCCAACAATTGGCTACCTCACAATTTTCCTCAGAGATTGCCCTGAACAACACCCAAGATCAGGGAATGACCAAGGATGAGCACCTTGGGACTGCCCAAAACCAAAAGAGAGGAAGGAAAGAACACCTGCCAGCTCAGTGAGCCACTTCACTGGAAGTCTAAATCTCTTTTCTTCCCTGGCCCATTGGGGAAGAGAAAATAGGGAAGTTTCAGCTGGCTGTATTTTTGTATATTATTGCATTTCAGATATAGATACTCAGTACAGTTATAAACAGACTTTTTTTTTTTTTTTTTTTGAGATGGAGTCTCGCTGTGTCGCCCAGACTGGAGTGCAGTGGCGCAATCTCGGCTCACTGCAACCTCCACTTTGTGGGTTCAAGCGATTCTCCGGCCTCAGTCTCCCAAGTAGCTGGGATTACAGGCACGCACCACCGCACCTGGCTAACTTTAGTATTTTTAGTAGAGACAAGGTTTCACCATGTTGGTCAGGTTGGTCTCGAACTTCTGACCTCGTGATCCAACCACCTTGGCCTCCCAAAGTGCTGAGACTACAGGCGTGAGCCGCCGCACCTGACTATAAACAGAATTTTATAATCTGTTTATAATCGTTTAGTCGTAATCATAAAATACACTGACTACCTAAAAAGGCATGTAAAGGAAAAATTTATTTTTTGCAAGCATTACAACAAGTTAACTTCACTATAGTTATACAATATATTTTAAATTTAATTTGATTTTTTTTTTCTTTTTGGCTTCTCAAGGGTCAACTTGATTTTTTTTTAATTAATAGTGTTAAAAAACAAAATGTCAACAAATTGCATTTAAAGATCGAATTGGCTTTTATTAGCGATTCATGAATCAGGCAGCATCCCATCAAAAGAACAGACAGCAGGTCCTCAGAGTTGAGCAGAGGAGGTTGGTTGGCTTCAGGGTTGGAAAAGGGTTGAAGAAAGCAGAAATAGGCCCAGTGTGGTGGCTCATGTCTGTAATCTCAGCACTTTGGGAGGCAGAGGTAGGAGAATCTCTTGAGCCCAGGAATTCGAAACCAGCCTGAGCAACACCCCATCTGTACAAAAGAGTAAAAAGTTAGCTGGGTATGGTGGTGTACAACTGTGGTCCCAGAAACTCGGGAGGTTGAGGTGGGAGAATTGCTTGAGCCCAGGTGGTGGAGTCTGCAGTGAGCTGTGGTCATGCCATTGCACTCTGGCCTGGGCAACAGAGAGAGACCCTGTCAGAGAAAAATAATAATAATAAAGTAAATTTTAAAAAAGGAGAAATAAGGAACAAAAAGTGGATTGATTATTTCAGAGTTACTTTCCTCATAAGATTAACACATAAGACTTTCTTATGCCAGCTCAGATAAACTGGGACCCTTCAGATTGGTGGCTGTGAATCTCCTGTTTTGGGTTTGTTTGTTTGTTTGGTCCTGTTTTTCATTTTTAATTTAAACTGGCCCTTTTTAAAGTTCAGTTTGATTACGTGAGAGTGCCTCCATTCCAGGTTGGTTTGGTCTGTTGGGGCCTAGTATAGGAGCTCAGTCCAAAACAATGGCCTTCCATAAATTTTAACAGTAGAGGCTCGGTGGCTCACGCCTGTAATCCCAGCACTTTGGGAGGCCGAGGCCAGTGGATCACGTGAGGTCAGGAGTTCGAGACCAGCCTGACCAACATGGAGAAACCCCGTCTCTATTGAAAACACAAAATTAGCTGGGCATGGTGGTACATGCCTGTAATCCCAGCTATTCAGGAGTCTGAGGCAGGAGAACTGCTTGAACCCGAGAGGCGGAAGTTGCAGTGAGCCAAGATCGTTCCATTGCACTCCAGCCTGGGCAACAAGAGCAAAAACTTCGTCTCAAAACAAACAAACAAACAAACAAACAAAAAACAAAACTTAACAGTAGAATAACAGTAGAAATACTTCCTAATTAAAACTATCCACTATTATAGATTTATTCAATGACCCACAAATCTCACTTTGGAGACTATCACTGTGGTGGGGAGGAGGGGGATCCTAAAATGAAAAAACAGAAACTTTAACTGCGAAGACCACAGGAATAAAACTGATTCATATGTGAGTGTTCCCTGACTTCTAGCCCCGTTTCTATACAAGCCGTATCTCCAACTGCCATAAAAGGAGACTTCTGGCTGGGCGCAGTGGCTCACGCCTGTAATCCCAGCACTTCAGGAGGTCGAGGCAGGTAGATCACGAAGTCAGGAGATCGAGACCATCCTGGCTAACACAGTGAAACCCCATCTCTACTTTAAAAAAAAAAAAGAAAAAAAAATTAGCCAGGCATGGTGGCGGGCGCCTGTAATCCCAGCTACTGCACTCCAGCCTGAGCAACAGAGCAAGACTCCATCTCAAAAAAAAAAAAGGAGACTTTTTTCCCAGTTCTTTCGGATGGGTTCTCAGGAGAATGAGTAGAGAGAAACCAGGCCAGAATGGCTAAGGCCAGAGGAACTGGCCCCAGAAGCTGAATTGATCTATGAAATAAAGAGCCAAAAAGAAGGTGAGAAGAGACAGAGGGAGAACACTTGGAAAACTGGCTTGATGGGAGTCACAGGGGTGATAGTAGCCTCTACAGTAGCTAGTGTGGGAGAGCTCGGGAGTGAAGGAAGACTGGAGGAGTATGGCTATGAGTTTTGAACTGGATTTCCTGTTTTCTTTGAAAGAGACAAAATGAAGATTGGAATTCATTTTATTTATTTTTTATTTCATTCTGTTTTTTTAGAGACAGGGTCTCACTCTGTCACCCAGGTTGGAGTACAGTGGTGCAATCCTAGCTCACTACAGCCTCAACCTCCTGGGCTCGAGGGATCCTCCCACCTCAGCCTCCTGAGTGGCTGGGATGTGCCACCACATCAGGCCTGGAATTCATTCTAAAATGACATTTGGGCAGTGCTATGTGAGTCTGGCGAGGCTGAGCTACGTTGAGACCCAGGATGATTATGGTCACAAAAAATTTTCATAAGATATTATGGCTGCCACAAAATCAAAGATAACTCAAATTGCCTAGTAGTAGGGAATCAGCTAAACAAACCATAATATAACAACATGATAGGGGAAAGCAGGGCATTATGGGTTGATGGTGGGCTTCAGAATAAGACAATTTGCTGTCTCACTCCCAATATTCTATTAGTTCTTTTACTCATCAAAAATATGTCAGCCTCGATTTCCTCATTTATACATTAGCGATAATTACATCTACCTTGTAGGGTGGTTGAGAGGATTAAATACAATAATATATGTATAAAATTCCTAATAGAGCACATGACTCATTGTAGACATGGCAGGTACTATTAGAAAATGTCACAGTGATGTTAAAAATAATATGTATGTGGGTTAAGTAACTATAAAAAGAAATGCGCATAAAATTACCATGTTTGTACATTGACAAGGATGGCAAGTGCATTTAGAATAAATGAGGCTAGCTCATCCACTTTCCTGCTGCCCTCAAAAGAGAATGGGCTCACATTGCAGAATGAGTGATTTAACACAAATATAAAAGAACATCAGGATGATAAAATACTGAAGAAATCTATAAAAGAAAACATTAAAACACTTTCTCTAGTGATGAAAAAGATAATTACATTGGTTCCTCATTTATTTCCCTGATTACAATGGTCAGAGGTAATTTGTTTGGCTTTGATAGGTGTTCTTTGCCTCAAGGGATTTTCCTTTCCAATTATGTTTGTTTAGGCTAATAGAAAACTAATTTACATTCCTTGAACTACCAACTGAAGAAGGTTGGGAGATGACTCAGAAGAATGCTGAACAGTAGGGGAAAATCCCTTTAGGATTTAGAAGGTGCTAGAAATAATCCAAAAAGTACATAATCCATGGAAGGGTTAACTGTACAGGAATTCAGTTATCCCCCACATCTCTTGCGTCACCTCTCAAGGAAAAATACCCCTGACTGAGTAGCCAGGGACCTCATGTATGAGACTAGGGGACTGTCAGGACCATTATTCTCCTATTCTAGCATCACGTACGGTACCTTGCTTCACGATTCATTCCTGAAGGATGCCTTTTTTAAGGCTTTCTTGACTCAATATAACTGTGCACATCCTATTTTTAGAGTAGTTGTTACAAGGATTCTTGCTGCCGTTTGAGGAAGTGAGAAGGTTGCTGGGGTGATCAGGTTCCACCCACCTCACACTGAATGGCAAAAAGAGGGTGGGAGGGAGATAAAGAGAGAGGCTTGTGGCAAAAAGAGGGTGGGAGGGGGATAAAGAGAGAGGCTTGTTTTTGCTGGCTTATTCGTTATATTCTCTCTTCTGGTTGAGTTTCTGAGTCCTATTATCAAAAATTTAATTTCACAAAGTGTAAATACGTTTTTGTCTTAGAAGTTTCAAACAGGGCTGGGCGAGGTGGCTCACGTCTATAGTCCCAGCACCCTTGAGAGGCCAAGGCGGAAGGATTGCTTGAGCCCAGGAGTTCAAGACCAAAACCAGCTGGGCAACACAGCGAGATCGTTTCTTTAAAAAAAAAAAAAAAAGTGCTATGTTGGCGTATGCCCGTAGTCCCAGCTACTTGGGAGGCTGAGGTGGGAGGATCACTTGAGCCCAGGAGGTAGAGGCTGCAGTGAGCCGAGATTACACCACTGCACTCAAGCCTTAGCTACAGAGCAAGACTCAGTCTTGAAAAAAACAAAAGTTTCAAGCAGACACATATAGAATCAATAGAATAAAAAATGAAAAGCTTCTTTAACACTGCTCCCTATCAAATCTCACTTCATCTCCCAGAGATAACCACTGTTCAAAAGTTTGATGTTCATGCATTTCCTTTTTTTCTAACTAAAAATAAAAAACAATTTTTAAGGCCGGGCGTGGTGGCTCATGCCTGTAATCCCAGCACTTTGGGAGGCTGAGGCGGGCGGATCACCTGAGGTCAGGAATTTGAGACCAGCCTGACCAACACGGAGAAACTCTGTCTCTACTGAAAAAAATTTACAAAATTAGCTGGCCATGGTGGCGCATGCCTGTAATCCCAGCTACTCGGAAGGCTGAGGTAGGAGAACGGCTTGAACCCAGGAGGAGGAGGTTGCGGTGAGCCGAGATTGCGCCATTGCAGTCCAGCCTGGGCAACAAGAGCGAAAACCCGTCTCAGAAAAAAAGAAAAATTGTTTTCAGAGACAAGGTCTTGCTATGTTGCCCAGGCTGGAGTGCAGTGGCTATTCACAGGCATGATCATAGTGCACTACAGCTTCAAACTCCTGGGCTCAGGTAATTCTCCTGCTTTAGTCTCTGGATTAGCTGGGACTTGAGGCGCACACCACGCCTGGAAGATGGTCATGCATTTCTATACGTTCACACACACACATATCTCCATCAAGTTGGAGGTAGTGAAATAAATTAGAGTATACCCATCCCAGGGAATACTATGCAGCAGTTTAAAAAATAAACAAAATGGCTGGGCGTGGTGGCTCAGGACTGTAATACCAGCACTTTGGGAGGCCAAGGTGGGTGGATCACAAGGTCAGGAGTTCGACACCAGCCTGACCAACATGGTGAAATGCTGTCTCTACTAAAAATACAAAAATTAGCTGGGCGTGGTGGCACACGCCTGTAATCTCAGCTGCTCAGGAGGCTGAGGCAGGAGAATTGCTTGAACCTGGGAGGCGGAGGTTGCAGTGAGCCAATGCACTCCAGCCTGGGTGACAGAGTGAGACTCCATCTCAAAAAATAATAATAATAAATAAATAAATAAACAAAATGTAGCCACACATGTCCTGATATGTAATGAACTCCAGGGTATATTGTCTTCTCATTCTGTCATAGTAGGATGAATATAGCATTTTTTGTTTACTCAATTTACTACTGATACCATTACTACTGATACCTTTCCAGCAGGAAGAAAGAAAAAGAAGGAGGAGGAGCAATATCTTGGTACATGCTTTTTCATGCCTTTTCATGTTCTGAATGAATAAATCTCTACTATACATAAATATAGAGGCTCAAAGGGTACGTGCATTTAAAATTTTAACAGATCCTGTCAAATGGTCTTTAAAAAGTCTTTACCATTTTACATTCCCTCCAAGTGAGTTTAAAAGTATCTTCCTGCTCTCTAGTGAATCCTTCCTGACAGCGTATATTATATATATAATATATACAATGAAGAGTTATATATATTATCTAATTCTTCAATTTTTGCCATACAGGCAAGGAAGAGAGAATTTGGGAATTTCATTGTTTTCATTTGCATTTCTCTGATTTTGGTAAAATTGAGCATATTTTATATGCTTAGTGTTCATTTATTTTTTAAATATTCCTCATTCTTATATTAGCCCATTATCCTGTAGGGACATTTGTATTTTTCTTATTGACTTGTAAGAACTCTTTATATATCCTGGATATTAATCATTTTTCTGTCATGCAATTTGCAAAATAGTTTTCCTTGTTTCTCTTTTGAATTCTAACTCTGATTATGGTTGTTTCCAGCAAGTTAAAAGTGATGTCATCTACTTTATTAAAATAGGTTATGATATTACTACTATTTATACTAGCAACAGAGCAGAAGCTCAGAGAAAATCTGAGATTCTTTCCCTTTTCACTTCTCCTGCTGTGTTCTCTCTCAATTTGGGAGGCAATAGCCTTTTCTAACAGGGATTGAAGGGCAGAGATTTGAGAGGAAGGGGATTAAGTAGTAGCATGAAACAGCAAAGTAGAAGAGCTTTTCAGTTTCTCTTGATTATTTTATTTGCTGTTGTACAGAACATTAGACAGAACCATGTGCAAATAAATGAACAAAAATTGCCAAATTCTATGGCCAAATATGAAAACACTTCCAGACTGTCTATCATTGAATACAATTCATATTACATTTTATCTCTCACTGTCTAGATTCTTTTTAAAAAAATGACTTCACTTCTAATACTAGATTAAACTTTAAAACTAACACAGTGCTGGATGCCTACAGTGAAAATTCCAAGCAATGCTAAGTAAAAACACTGGTATCTTTATTTCTCCTTCTTCCCTCCTTCCCTCCCTCCCTCCCCACCTTCTTCCTTTCTCTCTTTTTCTTTCGAAAATGCATTTCTTATGTTACTGTCTTGAAGTCCAAGAAAATCTAAAAATTAAAATGGAGACAGAAATGTAAATAAAGTAGAAATATCTCCCTTAAGCCCCATTCATTGGGTTTTTGCAGGGGTACATAGGCTACCATATGACTTAGTGATTTTAAGGAATAAGTTTGTTTGGGGAAAGGAGAAAAACAAGAGACCATAATTTATTGATTTAGAAAATATCTGTTAATGCCTGGTAAGCATCGAGGTATGTACAACGAAAAACAGGATAGAAGCCAGCCCTGCCTCCGTAGATTATTCTCTTGAAGAAAGAAAATAGAGAATCTCAAAAAAAAAATAAAAAATGCCCAGAGATGGATATTTTGATCAACATCCAGGGATGGCCATTGAGACTTTGTGTCCCTCCTTTTGAGGAACAGATGAGAAAGTCCTAGTTTTTGATGAAGGACAGTTGTATCTTGTTAGGTAAAAACATAACATTGTTACAGTTCTTGTATGAAAGTGTCAGAATCTATAGAAGGGTATATATGAATGCTGAGTAGCCAAATGGGTAAACCATGCTGGTTACTAAGTTATTGTCCCTCAGATCCAAATTCATCTTTCTATTTTGGGGTTTGTTTGTTTTGAGACATGGTCTTGCTCTGTTGCCCAGGCTGGAGTGCACCAGTGCAACAGCTCACTACAGCCTTGAACTCCTGGGCTCAAGCAATCCTCCTGCCTCGTCCATCGCAAGTAGCTGGGACTATAGGAATGCACCACCATGCCTGCCTAATTTTTTAAATTATTATTTTTGTAGATATGGGGTCTTGTTATGTTGCCCGGGCTAGTCTCAAACTCCTGGCTTTAAGCTCTCCTCCTCCCTCAGCCTCCCAAAGTACTGGTATTACAGCTGTGAGCTATTGCACCTGACCCAAATCCACCTTTCTATGCTCTACTTTGTGGGCATAGAAGGCAGGATCTCTTGGGCTGGGCATGTGGTTCACACCTGTAATCCCAGCACTTTGGGAGGTCAAGGGTGATGGATCACCTGAGGTCAGGAGTTTAAGACCAGCCTGGCCAACATGGTGAAACTCCAGATCTACTAAAAATACAACAAACTAGCCAGGCGTGGTGGTGGGCGCCTGTAATCCCAGCTACTCAGAAGGCTGAGGCAGGAAAATCACTTGAACCCGGGAAGCAGAGGAGGTTGCAGTGATCTGAGATGGCACCATTACACTCCAGCGTGGGTAACAAGAGCAAACCTCCGTCTCAAAAAAAGAAAAGAAGGCAGGATCTCTATCACCATATTTCTCCTTTGACAGCTGGCTCCCTGATAAATGCTGCCAATGAGGAGGAAGGTGCTAGAGGGAAACTGAGGGACGAGAAACTTACTCCTGCTTGGTTGCTGTTCCTATCAGGATCACCTAACTCTTGACCCTGACAGTAGCCATTGATTCCAAGGTCCAGCTTTTTCTCCCATACACCTAGAACCATCATGTTTTGCCAGCTGTATCAGAACCAGCTGGCTGTGATGTCATCTGCTTTACTCCATAGAAATCTGGCTTCCCTATGGTGCTGAAGGTCTTCCCTCTGAGCTCCCAGTACCAGGAGAGCTGGTGGTAGCTAATTCCCACAGTTCTATCTCCTTGGAACCTCAGCCTTCCCTTTCTGTCTCTTCTGTTCTCCAATATTTGCTTAACCAATCCTTTTCATTTAATTATGTCTGTTAAAATAAGATACGATTTCTGTTTCCCTGACCAAATCCTAACTTACAGAAAGCACCTGTCATGCTTCTCAGGAAATGAGGAAGCACTCCCTTAAATCCAAAGTGAATTCTCTGGGCTCTGTGATAATGCTACAGACTGAATGTTTATGTCACCCCCAAATTCATGTTGAAATCTCAACCCCCCAGTGTGATGGGATTAGGAGGTGGGGCCTTTGTGAAGTGATTAGGTCATGAGGGTGGGCCTCAAGAAGGGGATTATTGTCCTTATAAAGGAGACCCCAGATAATTCATTCCCCCTCTTCTCCACGTGAGGACACAGTGAGGAGGTGACTGTCTATGAAGAGAGGCCTCAGCAGACACTGAATCTGCCAGCACCTTGATCTTGAGCTTCCTAAGCCTCTGGAACCATGAAAAATAAATGTCTGGGGTTTTTTTCTTTCTATCCAAGTTGAATAAAAAAATGCCTGTTATTTGTAAGCCACCCAGTCTGATTTTTTAAAAGCAGCCTAAAAGATGAAAACAGATAACATAACATAATGCAAAAACACTATGTTTTTAATATAAATATAAACTATATTTTAAATGTTTACCCATTTGCCAAGCAGGGCTCTTCTTTCTTCAAATACCTACAATAAGTAAAAAAGAATACGGTAATTTCATATATCATAGTTCAAAATACCCATTACAAGAACGATATCATTAAGGGATCTGTGAATAAATATTCATTGTATCAGCTGAATATAAAGAAGACAGATTTTACTCCTGAGGTTATGTATTTTTACCCTGGGCAAGGTTTCTCTCTTTTTTTATTTCAGTTTCTACATGTGGAATAATTCATATGAAAGAAGAAGTAATAAGGCTGGGTACAGTGGCTTACACCTGTAATCCCAGCACTTTGGGAGGCCGAGGCAGGCAGATCATTTGAGCTAGGGAGTTTAAGAGCAGCCTGAGCAACATGGTGAGACTCCATATCTACAAAAAATACAAAAAATTAGCCAGGTGTGGTGGTGTGTCCCTGTAGTCCCAGCTGAGGCTGAAGTGGGAGGATTGCTTGAGCTCGGGGAGTTGAGGCTGCAGTGAGCTATGATCATGTCATTGTACTTCTTACCTGGGTGACAGTGCCAGACTCCGAAAAAAAAAAAAAAAAAGAAGAAGAAGAAGAAAAAGAAAGAAGTAACAGTTGTTTAAAGGGAAAGAAATTTTAAAAATGGAATTATAAAGGTAAATCAGTTTTAGAATTTGAAAGGAGATGAAAAAACTAACAAAAAAACAGGAACATGAAACTCCCCCGTCTGAAATATTTCAGTATTAATAGTATGAGAATTTACGAAACAGGTGAATGATCAGTTCTGTTTTTCTATTTCAGTGTATACACATATCAGTGGGCATACAAGTATGTACACATCTGTAGGATTAGAAATGTGTGTGTGTACACCTCTGGGCTTCCACTTGAATGTTTGTTGGTATAAGTTTATTACAATATACTATTTAGGACAGAAACTAAGTCTTATTCATCTTGACATCTCCAGCAGAGTGCTTACAGAGCATGTTACAGGTATCTATGTTTATTGAATTGAATGAATGTGATTGTGAGAATGAATATCCTTATGGATGTATCAGTACAATGTGAGTATCTTTATATATTGGTGTTGAGGTGCTTTTCTGAGCATCAGTGCATATGCACATTTCAGTGAGTGAGGAAAGGAAGACTAATGTAGGTACATGTGGCAGAGAAGGGGCTTATTAAGAGAGGAAGAGAAAGAGAGTAATGAACATATTTGAATGTCTCACTTGCTTTATCCCATACACCCTCTGTCAGCTTTCAAAATCGGGATTGATATTTTTCCCTCCTCTTGGCACTCACTACATTCTCTAGTGCTGTAAGAATGTTCCCTCTTGGAGAGGTGGCTCAGACCTATTTCTTCTCTTTTTATGGAAGAGGTTGAGGAGCTGGTTTTATGCTTCCCACAGATCGTGTTTTCCTTCCTTTTTTAACTCTCAAGCTCTGGTTGCCAAGGACATACAAAATAGGAATTGAAATAACTGGTTCAGCCACCACCTCAGGACCAGTGAAATGTCAGTTTTGCTCTTGGCCAGGGAATCTCTTCTGTCACAGACAGACACTTTTTGCACATAAAAGAAGAAGAAAAAGACCCTTCCCCGCAGCTAACTGCCACCTGGGCTACCAGGACCCTCAAATAATGGCAACAGATAAACTCAGAATTTCTAGATGAAAAGAAGTAGAAGAGAATCTGTAGAACACAGAAGATTCAAAATATCTGGATTCAAATATTGTCTGAATTCTTCTCTATCAATCATGCATCACCCAACCCGTGCAACCAGTGTTGTCACTTTTCTGAAGCCCAGGGATTTCTCTCCTCCCAACTCCTACTCCATTTATAGAGTTCATGCTTCACTTAGACTTTATAGTGTTTGTTTTGCTCTCTAGTGGTGTCTGTTAATTTTATCTTCCCAAGTAGATTACAACCACTTTCTCTTACATGCTCCACAGAACCCTCAAGTACAGAGTCCATGGAAGGCCCTCAATAAACCATTTTGCTGATTGACTAACAACAAGAAGAAAGCTTCAGAAGTCATCGAAGTTTAGAGCTAAAAGGAATCCTAAAGATCTTTTTATTCGATTCCTATATTTTAGAAAGGATAAGCAGAGGACCAAAGAGGTTATATTTACAGATATTTAAAAAATCTCTGGGTCCAAACTATGTGTTCAGCTCAACACTGCACTTGATTCCTCACCAGATCCTTGGTCTTCCCCATTCTGACTTCCAGCCTTACATTCTTGATGAACTTCTGCCCATGCTTTGGTCTGACTATAAGAAGAAGCAGAGGTTAGGTCCTGAGACCACAACAGAGCTTCAAGAGGAAGTTGAAGCATGGTGTCCAATGATGGTGTAACCCATTGGAAACAAAAGGAAACTGACTTAAAGGGGAAAAGACGGTCAACAAGAGGGTAGTAGAAAAGGAATGGGGTGGATATTGGGAAGTGCTACACAGGCTAAAACATGAGACAAAGTCTAAGCAGAGTCCATGCAAGTCCAGCTCTTTACCAGAAGGTAAACTCAAGCAGAAACTGATGGGACACAAGGGGTAGAGGAAAGACACTAGACTGAAAGTCAGGAGACCCCAGATCTGGTTCTGACTCTACCTTTGACAAGACGTATCATTTTGGGCAGATAATTTTGTCGTCAGGTTCTCAGTTGGACTTACAGTCTTACACACCCTGGTTTGGAGCAAGTCTTTATTTCAAAGATTTGCAATCAGGTTCTTCATTTTAAAGAGCTGGAAAACAAAGTATTTCTTCCAAATGGAAATATTAAAATGGATCTTCTTTTCTTGCAAGATGCTGCAGTCTGTTTATATCACAGTTTACTCAGAGCCTGCTGTTAAGTCAGAATCCCACGGTTGTTATTTTAGTCTGTTGACACTGTAGTTACATATTTCACCGTGTGACATCATTACAATGTAGGAGTGAGATATTTAGGGGCCCCTAAATAATGATCGATTGATGGTAACTGGGTGCTTTTTCTCAGAACACCTTTTTTTAACATGTACTGTACAACATGTGTGAGCCATACTCTAAAAGAAATGTGGATCACTTTCTTTTCTTTTTAAAAACTGTGTATATTTAAGGTATACAACTTGATGCTTTGATATATACATACATAATGAAATGTCAAGGAAATTGTCCTATCCATCACCTTCCACAGTTACCTTTCTATGTGTTTGTGTGATAAAGATCACTTTCAATTAAAACACTAGTTGGCAAAGAAATACACATTTTAAAAACATTCCTTCACTCAAAATTCACAATGCTTGAATAACTTACTAATCCGTTAAATATGCCTATCCTGGTGATGCTGGTTTTTTTTTAGGCATCTAAATTTGAATTTAGAGAATTCAACCTCTCTGCTTAAAGCCTGCTGTGAAGTTAAAATCCTGTGACTTTTATTTTAGTCTAAGATAGTTACATATTTCACATTTTACTACAGAATAGAAGAAAGACAAAATTAAAACAAAAACTTAAAACCAAGAAACCTTAAAATTTCACTGATCATTGGTGACAAACACCCTCATTTAGAAGTGTGGAAGCCCCTTGAAATGATTGTCTGCATGCCTTTTGGCCGGCTGTCTCCTTGGGCATCTATTTTTAATTCCTTTCACACAGTTAGAATGTTAGAACGAGAAGAGACCTTCAAGGTCATCTGATCCAATCCACTCATTTTACAAAGGAGGATAAAGCCCAGAGAAGGTAAAATTGGTACAGCTGATTTGAAACCAGAGTTTTCAATTCCCAGAGTTATCGTCCTTTGTTTGCTTATATGTACGAATATGTGTGTGTATAATATATGATACATATTTATATTCTAATTTGTTTTAAAATTGGAAACTGCTGCATTGTATGAAGTAAGAAAATGAAAGCTCTCTCTTCTAACAGACCCTCCTCTGTCCACCAACACCCATATAACTCTTCGGGAAAAACCAGTATTAACAGTTTGAGATGGCTGGGCGTGGTGGTTGATGCCTGTAATCCCAGAGCTTTGGGAGGCTGAAGCAGGCGAATCACCTGAGCTCAGGAGTTTGAGACCAGCATGAGCAACATAGTGAGACCTTGTCTCTACTAAAAAAAAAAAAAAAAAAAAAAAAATTAGCCGGGCATGGTGGTGTGAGCCTGGTGGTCCTAGCTACTTGGGAGGATGAGACAGGAAAATCACTTGAACCTAGGAGGTGGAGGCTGCAGTGAGCCGTGATTGTGCCACTGTACTCCAGCCTGGGTGACAGAGTGAGATCCTCAAAAACAAACAAACAAACACACAAACATCAGCTTGGCATAATCACATACAAATTCTATGTGTGTGACTGTGCATTCGTACACATACTTCTGTGTATATATACACACTAAGATTTTTAAAAATAATTTTACGCCACACAGTAACATAACTAAACCAAAAAATGATTTTTTTTTGGGGAATAAAATGGGAGTTCGGGACAATGCAATACATATTATCTTGAGAAGTGATCGTTAAATTGGATAAAAATCTGTTAAAGAAACAATGAGTGCTGTGATGCACTCGTTCCCCTCCAGAACTGAAGGATTTATTTCCCCACCTGCTGGAAGACTGCTGGTTGACAGTCACAAGCTTGAGAGAGCTGCCTTGCCCAAGGTCAGACTTGGCGGGGGTGGGGGGGTAGGCAGCTGGCGCCCACTGAATGGTTGGTCAGTGTGGAAGTATAAAGATCAGACCCTCTTCCCCACTTACCCCTTGCCACAATGTAAGACAAATTATGTGGTTTGGATCTCTGTCCCCACCAAATCTCGTATCAAATTGTAATCCCCGGCCGGGCGCCGTGACTCACACCTGTAATCCTAGCACTTTGGGAGGCCAAGGCCAGTGGATCACTGAGGACAGGAGTTCAAGATCAGCCTGGCCACCATGGTGAAACTCCATTTCTACTAAAAATATGAAAATTAGCCAGGTGTGGTGGTGGGCGCCTGCAATCCCAGCTACTCAGGAGGCTGAGGCAGGAGAATCGCTTGAACTGGGAGGCAGAGGTTGCAGTGAGCCTAGATCGCGCCATTGCACTCCAGCCTGGGCAACAGAGTAAA